ATCCCCTTGTCCTCTCTCTCTCTCTCTCATCATCCTCATCCTCTCCTCCATGGCTCGCGTCCTCGCCCAAACCCCGGCCTTCTTCAAACCCCAAACCCGAACCCTAATCCGATCGTTCCCTCCTTCTCTCCTCTCCCCCTCCCGCGCCAAATCCAACCGCGCCGGCAAGGCCTCCTTCATCGAGATCGACATCGGATCGAGCGGATCCGGATCTGAAACCGAGGTCGAGGTCCATTTGGGCGCGAAAAGGCTTGAGGACGTTCTCCATGGCATCTACGCTCAGAGGTCGGCGCCCGATTGGCTCCCGTTTGTGCCGGGTCCTCGTAATTGGGTGCCGCCCAAATGAGCACAAGAAGACGCGTGGCCTGCTGCTGAATTTTGTGAGATTTGAGTGTGGAGCCGTTGACGCAGGAGGAGGCGATGTCGTTTAAAACTGCTAGGGGGTGGCCCTCGTCTGCTTACTTCGTTGGAGGTATTTGGGGAAATTTGCGAGCTTTTTTTTTGTGTCTTACGCGTAATGCCATCTTTGTCACTGGTTATTGAGATATAGGTTTGCGTCCTGCTAGTATCCATTTTGCGCATGTTTTTCTGAATGGAGGCTCGGATTGGGGAATTGCGATTTTTTTTTTGTGCTTGTTGATTAGGTGATTTGGGATTTATCTCTCAGTCAGTAGAAAACTAGATGCTGCAGGGTTTCCGTTATCCAACCCTTTTTAACTTCAATTAGGAGTTTGGGCCCTAATACCAGGAGTTCGATAAATTTTTCTTCTGATACACATGGTGTCCTGCTGATTAATTTGTCCATGTTTCGTTGGTGTTCGTGATCGTATGCAGCATTAGGGGGAAATCACATTTTTGTGTTTGGTTTTGGAAATGTAGATTCCAGGATTATGCTGCTGGGAAATAATTAGTTCTCTTCCAGTTTAAAATTTCTTGAAATAACATCTAAAAATTGTACGGACCAAGCAAAAATGCTGATGGATTTTGACACCTGTTTATGAGATTTTGACACCTATTTATGAAGACGACGCAAGCCTCTTTAAATAGGCTACAAGGCTGGTCTACTAAGCTTAGCGAACTTGCGCACCAACCAAACTTGCCCTTTAAGTATTTATCAAATCTATACAACAAGCTTTATCAAGCCTGTCCATTAAGCTTTTTTAGACTTGCCCACCAAACCTCCCAGGAGGGATAACCCACCAACAAGCGAAAACTAAGGAGTAAAGACTAATGTCAACAATTTCATTGCGCAGAAGTTTAATGGCAAAGTAAGTTTTACCCTTTGACAAAGAAGAGTGGTGGACCTTATTCAACAAGGCTTTGCAAAAGTTTTGAAGGGGAAGGATTGGAAGCTAGTGAAAATGGATGATGGCCAATGAGAGGAGCTTGAAGCAAGGTGTGTTAGCACTATCTGACACTGTATTGTTGATAGCATTCTGAATGATGTTGTTGATGAAGATTTGGCGTCAGAGATCTGGGTTAAGTTGGATTTGTATCAGTTGATGGTGGTTGAAGGCGGTAATCTCATGGAGCACATCACCATATTTAAGGATTTGTGTGATCAACTACAAAAGATTGATTTCAAGGTGAAAAAGGGAGGCAAGGCTCTTTTGCTTCTTACCTCACTTTTTGATTCTTTTAATGGCTTGGTGATAATGATGTTGTTTGGTAAAGATTCTTCACATGTTGAGGTGCAGCTTGTATTAGTATCTCATGATACCAGAAGAAGTCTGAGGGATTTGAACTTGCGTTAGCTGTCATGCGGGAGAATCGAAAAGGAAGACAAGCTAATAGGGATTCTGCATGGGGCATACATATATCAAAATTTAGTGGAAAGGGTATACAATACTGAAGGTTTAATGGGTATGGTTATGTGAAAGTTGATTGCCCTCAGTTGGAAAGTGATTGCGCCTCTTACGGGCTGGAGCCTCTTCAACAAATTGTGTTTCCTGTGGAACCTTAGAACTGATGACTATAAAAGGATGAAGATCACAATCTCTAAAATCATTGTTGCTTCTTTAGATGAGTGGATATTAAGTTTTGCGGCAGTGGTGCATGTGTATTGCAGATCAGATTATTTTGATTTGTTTCAAGAAGAGATCTATCGAGTAGTTTTGGGAGATGATTCGGTTTGTAAGTCTTGGGTTTTGGAATGGTGAAAATCAAAATGTTTGATGGCATCATTTGTACTTTGCGCGGTGTGGGGTATTGTCCTGAAGATGTGAAAAGAATCTGATATCTTTGAACCAAGAAGTACATGTCTATTCAACATGAGGGGAAAGTCTTCAAATCACATAAAGTGGAAATGTACTGATTAAGAGAAAAAACATAGAAGATTGTATCGACGTATCGTTTGATAGGAAATATTACAGTCTAGATGGGTGTAGGGGGGGAAATGTCCATAAGTTGGGGGAGTTTTTTAGGGTAGCTTGGGTTTCAAGGTTCATGTTGTCATGGTTTAGACAATAGTAGTAGAGGAAATCTTGCCATCATAGAGGTCACATGGAGTTCCTCTTTCAAAGTCAATCGATGAGGATTGTCTTGTTCAGGTTAGGGCTGGTTTGTCGAATAAGGGTTGCTTCTTACATCATTCAGATTATGTGTAGTTGGTGGTTGTTGATGGCTTAATATTTTCTTTGCGGTTTAGCAAAGAGGTGGACTGATTGCTTGTGGAGTAGCAAGCATATGATTGTGGCGTTCTCTACTATTGCAAGACGAATTGTCTGCTTAGTGCTTGCAGTATAGCAGCAGATGTGCTAGTTTTCTCATTAATCATGCTGGAGGGGGAGATTATTGATGAGCTAGACCTCTTGTGGGGCATGGTGAGCAACTCTAGCAAATCATGGTGGACAAGTTTGATAAAAATTAGGGTTTTTTATTTCTAGGCCCATTTGTTTACTTATCTTTACCTATAAACCCAATCATTATTTTTTGTATTCTTAAACCCAATTTTCTTTTTGTTTTTGTCTTTAAACCCAATTTCTAAAATACAGTATATACAGCACTTGTATTTATACACCAACATGATAAAATCCCCAAAATACCCCTTTCAATACCCTACTTAAACCAGCCCCCCTTCTCTCTCCTCATTTTCCTTCTTCCTCAAGTCTTTGTCTTCCTCCTCCGATCCCACCTCTGGAAGGCGCGGCAGGCGGCGAGGATCTTGCGGTGGAGGCGCGGCTTGAGGAGGCAGCGATGGAGGCGGAGGTGGTGGGCAAGGGAGACGCGGGCTGGCCGGTGCGTTGGGCTTGGCGGGTTGTTTTGGCGTGGCTGAGGAAGGTGAACAGAGGAGATGGAGTGGGCGGTGAGTCGGGTTCGGGGAAGAAGGCAAGGGTGAGCGGCGTTGCGGGTGGCGGAGGAGGCCGGAGGTAGCGTTGAGGGAGGTGGTGAACGGAGGTGGTGCTCGGTGTGGTGGGGGAGAGGTGTTAGGGCGCGGAGCATGGATCTGGGGAAGCTTGGCGTCGAGGCTTGGACGGACCTGGGTGGCGGGTGATGGAGGGCAGCGGTTTGGGCGTCAACGAGGTGATTGCGGCGGTGGTCGAGGGCGTCAACGGGACAGGGAGGAGCTTGGGGCGGTTCTGGAGCTTGTCTTGAAGATTGTGAAATTTTGGAGTTTTCCTTGAAGATTTGTGTAATTTTGGAGTTTGATTTGTAACATATTGTTTTAGATTGTAAGTTTTTGAAAGTAGATAATGAAAGTGTTGATAGTGCAATTTCGTTATTGTAGAATTTTGTGCAATTTTGGAGTTTGTAAGACTGGAATTTTGTGCAATTTTGGCAATTTTGTGAGTGCTATTTTGTGAAATTTTATGAGTGTTATACACTTACAGGATAACCCGCTACACTTACAGAATAACCCGCTACACTTACAGGATAACCTGTCGCACTTACGATGTAACCCGCTACACTTACAGGATAACCCGCTACACTTACAGTGTAACCCGCTACACTTTCAAGATAACCCGCTACACTTACACGATAACCCGCTACACTTACACGATAACCCGCTACACTTACACGATAACCCGCTACACTTACACGATAACCCGCTACACTTACACGATAACCCGCTACACTTACACGATAACCCGCTACACTTACACGATAACCCGCTACACTTACACGATAACCCGCTACACTTACACGATAACCCGCTACACTTACACGATAACCCGCTACACTTACACGATAACCCGCTACACTTACACGATAACCCGCTACACTTACACGATAACCCGCTACACTTACACGATAACCCGCTACACTTACACGATAACCCGCTACACTTACACGATAACCCGCTACACTTACACGATAACCCGCTACACTTACACGATAACCCGCTACACTTACACGATAACCCGCTACACTTACACGATAACCCGCTACACTTACACGATAACCCGCTACACTTACACGATAACCCGCTACACTTACACGATAACCCGCTACACTTACACGATAACCCGCTACACTTACACGATAACCCGCTACACTTACACGATAACCCGCTACACTTACACGATAACCCGCTACACTTACACGATAACCCGCTACACTTACACGATAACCCGCTACACTTACACGATAACCCGCTACACTTACACGATAACCCGCTACACTTACAGGATAACCCGCTATACTTACGGGATAAGTGTAACCCGCTACACTTACAGGATAGCCCGCTACACTTACAATGTAACCCGCTACATTTACATGATAGCCCGCTACACTTACAGTGTATCCCGCTACACTTACACGATAACCCGCTATACTTACAGGATAACCCGCTATACTTACACGATAACCCGCTACACTTACAGTGTAACCCGCTACACTTACAGTGTAACCCGCTACACTTACAGTATAACCCGCTACACTTTCAATCACAAACATAGATATGTTACAAAACATCCTCTACACTTAACACGGTACATTTTCAATCACAAACACCATCACAAGCTGAAATATGCTACAAACTCACCACTAAATTCAGTCACAAGTTGAGAGATCAAACAAATTTTAACAATGACCAATTTTAACATCCTCGCCTATATGTTACAAAACATCCTCGCATATTACAAAACATCCTCGCATATATGTTACACTTGCAACACAAATTGAGATATGTTACAAAACATCCTCACATATATGGTACAAAACATCCTCACACGTATTTCAGATACATTCACAGTCACAAACATAGCCAAAAGCTGAGGAATGTTAAAAAACATAGATTCACCATAAAGACTGCCAAAAGGGGTTATTCATCCTCATAGTTTTCAACCCGTTCAACAGCCCACCAATCTTCGAAGGATCAGTAAGCTTCAAAGGGCCAAACTCCATCAAGTGAAGCAAGAAACAATTGGTGACCCTTTTTAACCCTGAAAAAAATTAGAATGTTAAACAACCAGCCATCAATAGAAATTTTTTTGTCAGAGTTTAGAAAACCACAAACTACAATCCAAATATCCAAAATGTAATTTATATTGTTTAGTTGAATGCAACATCCTATACAAGAAATATTTACCATGATCCACTAAGAACCTACTGCAGCTCTCGAGAATCAAATCGAGCTCCTTGATCAGCTCCTCCTGTAATTTATATGGTTGAAAATGTACTTAATTAGTCATCATGCGCTGATCAACAAAACATAATAATTTTAAGTTCTGATCAACAAAACATAATAATTTTAAGTTCTGATCAACAAAACATAATAATTTTAAGTTCTGATCAACAAAACATAATAATTTTAAGTTCTGATCAACAAAACATAATAATTTTAAGTTCTGATCAACAAAACATAATAATTTTAAGTTCAATGTTTTAACATTTAGTAGGATTCTGTTTGGATAAACTTATCTATATTTATTATCAAAACAGAATTGAACACAAAACATGTTTCCCTCAAGTTAGTGATGCCCACCTTGCTCTTTACTGAACAATGAATGGCTTACATTTATTGGTTGTCATAGTTTCTGGTATAATTGTGTGATATTTGAGAGTTCAGCCTCCTCAAGTGGCTATCGAAGATGATAATTAATCACAGAAAGTTAAAGTTTTCAGTTAACTTCACTAACTCATGGATATAAGAAACATATGATCGACCAACCTAAATATTAAGAAACTACAAGATATTGGTTTGAAATTTTGCCCACACTAAAATCAACGACTCCTCACTTGTTGATAATCTATATCTGAGTGAACACTACATTAGCATGAAAAATGTGCTCTCCTCATTTTTATTCACCAAGGCTCGAAGCATATGTATTAGGTGCCGACATCCTGCTGTGCTCATCGATTTTTTTCTCTTTTTATAGCAGTAACACCAGAATATATATAGTTTTGGGGTCAAATATCAAGAATCCTTCCCCCCCCCACCCCAAACGAAAAATTAATTAAGCATGCGGCGGGTCTTTATCTAGACAGCAAAAAATTAGCAAACCACCTTTTCAAAAGGCAACTTATCCCAAATATCCACCTCCGTGATAAGAACCTGTGCCCAAAAGCGCTTTTTATTTCGAAACATAGCAGCTAATAATTTCACAAATGGAGGAAATTGATGCGACATGACAAAATTAGCAAGCACCACCAACTGAACGTCAAAATTGAACAACACCCGTAAAAAGGAAAATAAATAAATAATAATAATAATAACCTGAACAATGCTCCAAGCGACCAAGAGCTCCAGACCATCAAATGGCGCGCGTCAGAGCCATTCACCAAGCCCGGCCCCCCTCAATAGCTCCCTCTCAAATCTGTTCACCGCGCACGACCGATTAATTAAATAATTGTTCAGAGCAATAAAATAATTGGTGGGGAGGAAAGGTTTTCAAAGCAGAATCGATGGCTTGAAGAAGAAGACCCAGGAGGGGGGGAAATTACCAGAAGAGCAAGAGGACATGATCATCAGAATTTTGAAGAGGGACACATTTATGGAGATGACGGAAATGGGAAGGCACGAGCTGGAGAGAGAGGGACAGGGACATCGACGCCGGAGACGGGCGACGGCTAGAACGGGGCGTCGGCGGCTGGAGACGGGCGACGACGAAAAGGGGATCTCGTTTTTTCAATTTAGGGCTGTGAGATGAAATGAGGAAGATGAGAGAGATACTGGGTTTTATTGGGCCAATCAAAGGGGTATTTTGGGTTTTTACATTCATTCTGTATAAATACAAGTAATTGGGTTTAAAGACAAATACCAAAAGTGAATTGGGCTTAAAAATACAAATAATAGAACTTGGGTTTAAAGATAAATGGGAGTAAACAAATGGACCTAAAGATAAAAACCCCTAAAAATTATTATATAAGTGTGCTAAAAGCTTAGTATTTTTGTGGGCAAGTTTGCTATGCTTGGTGTACAAGACATGTAGCCTATCTAAAGATGATTGTGAGCCTTTAGAGATACGAGGAGGAAAAAATGAATATGATTTAGTGCTTGTGAGAGTGTTCTTTGGATACTATAGTGAGTGTACAAGGAGTTGTGTTTGGCTCAAATAATGATAATGATTCAACTATAATTTTATTATGTTCCTTCTTTCAAAGTGAAGGGTAATTTTTAGTCGTGGATGTAAACATTTTTGGTGAATCAAATAAATTTCTTGTGCTCACTATCTCCCCCCCCCCCCCCCCT